ACTGGGATGAACAATTCTGTAGGATCTTTGCGTGTCAAAAGTTAAAAAAAAACTTTGGTAAAGAAAATTCGGGCAACCAAAAGTTGTTGCGGTTTTCAACCCAAGATCTGCTTGAAGATGTCATGGAGTAGTTGAATTCTACACAAACACTACTAATGGTTACTGACAACAGGGCATGCATGTATTACAAGAACCCTAAATTAAACACTATCACAAGACCAGGATGATGCCATAGACGGATGATGCCATGCAACAAGACTACAGCCGTATTTCCCACCATGTCCCGTGTCAGGAATACTTTTCTGGAAATGTTCCGAAAGAAAATCAAAATTCGCACGTAATCTGGCTAACAGATAGCCTCTACCAGGCTTCGGAAGCGGCTAGCAATAGTAGAACTTGGCAAATAGATATGTCAGGGGAGTTGGTCCGCTAGGAAGTGTAGTTTGCCTCACCCGAAAACGCCAATTTCTACTCTTTCCAGCCGATTTCCGTCAGAAACAAAGCAGACGGAAAATGCTTTCCTCGCTAGTCCCGCATGGAATATTAAGAAAGCGATTCTCATGTATTTTATATTCCCCGTGGTCAGCGGAGCGGCCTTGGGAGGTTCTGCGGGGTACATTTGTCATCCCAGAGGTCCTGACTCCGCTGTCGCACCGAATATTGTCGGCGTCCGCCGGTCAAAAATCAATCCCATTTGCAATGCCGGGATTATGCCACCCTAAGGGGTAATATCGTTTGATCTATGTCGCTTTGTGAGAGAGTTCTTTAAGTTTAGCTGTTCATAGTCAGTGCCAAAATGTGGCGATGAACTGAGATAATGGTACATGTACTTGTAAATGTCTGGATGTTACGGTTTGTCAGTTCATGTGTACGTATATCTATATTATAAATATACATCCATCCGTCTATCTCTCCCTATATATCTATCTATCTCTTTCTTTCTCTTTTCTGTATGTGTGTGTGTGTGTGTGTGTGTGTGTGTGTGTGTGTGTGTGTGTGTGTGTGTGTGTGTGTGTGTGTGTGTGTGTGTGTGTGTGTGTGTGTGTGTGTGTGTGTGAATTTTCAATTTTATAAATATCAACTCCACTCAGGCAACATTACCTTATGCCTACAATGTTGATATTTTAAGAAAGGAGACAGAAAGAAAAGATCTGAAGATTGTATTAAAGAGGACGTTAGGCATTCCTGTGTTCGTTCCACCGTGCAGTCACTGTCACATATTTACACTCCATACATATTGCAGAAGGCATGTGCAATAGAGGACAACGATTGTTATCGATTCCATACAAATGGGCGATTTTGTCTCCAGTGTTCCGTGTGAGCGGTCGATGGAGTGAAGAATGATGATGTAGGGACAGGTAATGTGGAGGAAAGATGGCGGGAAATGAACGAATGACGGAGATACGCATGACCTTTATGTTTGATACAAGATACGTGCATGTAGGTACAAAGTCGGCGGCATTCAAAGGTTGGCGAGGGCCGGGATTCGGAAGGGGAGTTTCACCTTTAGCTTATAAATCTGACGAACACAAAAAGTCTCAACCACAGAACTATTTCAAAGATATCTAGGTATGATACAAGATGCATGTTCGTGCATGTAGGTACAGAGGTGCTTTCGGCGTCTGGGTTGGAAATCGCTGCAATTAATGACGCGAAAGAAATACATTTCAAAATATGGAGGGGAAGGTTGAGTTTCGCTTTTGTCTAGGCTATTTAAGCAGTTATCACGACCACAAAAAAACTCAACCACAGGCACAGAACTAAGGTGATTTCGATGGCGTGGTTCTACATTGCTGCAATCAATGGCGCGAAAGAAATACACTCGTATTTCAACTTGGGCGAGGGAAAGGGGATGAGTACACTGAGATTATGCTTTTATAAATTTTTTCAATTAGTCATCATGAACACAAAAAAAGCTCAACCACAGAACTATGAATGTTTTATCACAGATTTGGGAGAAATCATCACTCGTAAGCTAAAGGAGGTTTTTCATCGAGCTTTCATTCGAGGAATTTTTAGCGTATGATCCATAGAGGACATTCTGTGCGTTACTTTTCCAAGGGTGTACTAGTATCTCCGCATTCCATAGATAAAACAGCCTACTTCTCATTAGGTGGGCTGTTTTAGGAAGGAACTGACAGCCTTTTCTGTAACACGAAAAACAGGTCAATCGATGAGTTAATGACCCGGCTGATTACCCTCGATGTAAACCTGTCATTACAGGGTCTAATTTACGGCGACATCAGCGGATAGAGAGGTGTTCGATGTAATTACAAGGTGGCCGACTAGCTGTGGTGGTAAATAACCTGTACAACAAAGACAACACACACACGTATGCACAGTCTACAATGTATTCATCATTTTCCGATCTGTATTAATTTATATTGCTCCTTGTTTTTGGACTAATCGCAATCCTGTTGCGCACACTACCGTACCACTTGATGTAAGAAATACAATGAATTCACTTCTTAGATGTATACAAAATGTCAGGTCATTCCTTATCAATAATCTAAAGTAAACCAAAAGTTGTGACTAAAACTGATGATTTATTGAGTCTTTACATGATGTTCTTTACATGATGTTCATAGTTGTGTCTGTGAATTATTTACCTGTCTTCCTCGCTTGACTTTCTGATTTGTTCCATCTCTGTTGTGCAAATTGCTATTCTTCTTCCTCTCTGTTCACTTTCTCAAAGTGTTAACCCATCAATTTTGATGGTACTCTGAATCACACAGACTACTAAGGCTGTAGCTTCCAGCTAACTGTGTTTGTCTTCATTTTATTACAGCTCCGTCCTATCAAGTTTTCATTATTACAAACTGCTCGCAATTTGTCTTTTTAGGTCACGTCTGCGACAGAGAAATTTGTAGGTCATAAGAATTGATTATCCAGTCTTCTCGTACGAGTACACACGAGTGAAGTAGAACGGGCCAAAGTAACAAAATACGACCAATATTGGCATAAGGGAACGCGTAAAAACAAGTACGAAACAAATCTTTAAGCAACCACATCAAATCTTATCATTCAAACGGGACTTGTATACAAAGTACGTAGTTGCTGCCAGTATAATGTTGTCAAGCGCGCGGCAAGCTGGATTTTCAAAGTTAATTTTTCTGGTCATTCCTTTCATGTAGTAAGATGACTCAACCCTTTCCCGTAGCATACCGATGAGGCAAAATGCGATGTCGCGGAAGGGAAAGGAGGCTGGTTCTAGCTATATTATGTGCGGTACCCAAAAAATACAACCTTAAATGCTATTAGCAGAAGTTTGCGACCACCCACGGATGTAACGTTGTCCAGGAGAACATCTTCAGTCCATTTGCTGCCGTAAACCTGTCCTAAAGTGTGACAGGTCACATGTGTCGTCTGTTTCGGCAAAACCTCCTTGATTTTGTCCACCATCTAGTCTCTACTAATCTCCAAGCAGATGTTTAGGTGTCCGCGAAAGACAGTATCAAATTGGCCAGGCAGTATCCATTGGCCAGACTGTATGTTGGGTGGCAAATGGATACTGCCTGGCCAATTTGATACTGTCTTTTACGGCCACCTAAACATCTGCTTGGAGATTAATGAGTCTCTACCAGGCTTCGGGAAGCGGCCGGAAAGAGTAGAAATTGGCCAAATAGACAGATGATATGCCAGGGGAGTTGGCCCGCGCTTGGAGAACAGTTTGCCTCTCCCTGGCATATCATCCGTCTATTTGGCCATTTCTGCTCTTTCTAGCCGCTTCCTGAAGCCTGGTAGAAGCTACATCTTATCCAGCGCTGTGTGTTAGAAGCTAGATTTTATCTCAATTTCATTATCGCGAAGTGGTCACGCGACAATACCACACGCACTGCACAAAAGTCATTAGCATTATATATAAGCGTAAAGGTACCGTTTCTTCCCTCATGTGTACGTACCTCTACGCATGATTTAAAGTGTTCGTAAAGATAGAATTTCGTGCAGTGACGTCGACTATGTTAGTACGGCACGATCCAGTATCGCTCAGTATTGTTAAACCTGACGCTAATATTGCTAAGATGTTGACTCATGTCACCTTTTGACCGACTTGAAATACAAGTGTTTACGCAGCGGTCTACCGGCTAACCGTGACTCGGCGGCTTTGAAAGAAGACCAAAGATTCAGGCGATATTGTAGATTTCATTGTACAGTATGGTTCTTAAGGCGTGCATGTTTCCTTCCTTATGTTGTTCCTATATAGTTTTGATTTCAATATATCATTAAATGCAATCACTTACACAATGCAAAAATAGGTATGCTTTGTTATCTGAATCTGTATCTGTATAGCCAGTATAACCGCCCTTCGGCCTAAAACACCAGCTTCTGTATCTGTATAGCCAGTATAACCGCCCTTCGGCGTAACACACCAGCTTCGCAGGCACGCGGCGCGGCGGCGCCTGGCTACATTACACCGAACGACTTTACCCTTGAACATCTAACTCTAAAGTCATTAGAAAAAAATTACCGAAAACCATGATTAGCCCTACTCGATTGTAACAAAGACTCATATGCTAGCCCTTGTTGCTTTAGTAGTTAGGGAGGATTTTAAGTTGCAATAAAGTTCTCCGGCCGGTAAAAATGGGGAAGGGCCTATGCTGCCAATCAACAGTCGGCAATTTGCGCCACTGCCATATATATAACAAGAACAATGTTCATACAGCCTGCAGCATACATGTGTATGTACGTGGTTACACTAGACACTGTAACTGTAATAAATACGTTGAAGTCTCATTTCCAAAATATACATGTAGCCAGAAGCATACAAGGGTATGTGCATGGTTACACTCGACACTGTAACTGTAATAATAAGGATCAATAAGTCTTTGACTTTGCTTATTGTGGCATACCATAGACTCCTAGCTACGTACATGTAGCCAAAACTGATCCCTTGAACGCCAGTGCCATAATTTTCCAGTTTTCTCTCCAATACCCTTCACGTGGCTGAGGAGGGGTGGCCGTGTATGTAAAGAGCTCCATACCTTCCGGCCTGTTACCAGACATTACCGTTCCTTCTGAGTTAGAGTGTGTTTGGGTGACAGCCAGACCGAAACGCCTGCCAAGAGGGGTGTCCAAAGTTGTAGTGGGTGCCGTCTACAACCCGCCATCTTCACCTCATCAGGACCTGCTTTTAGACCACCTCGTCTCTGTTACAGACGACATCAGGACACGTAACCCAGAGGCTGGAATAATTCTGTTGGGAGACTTCAACCACCTGGACATAAGTCAACTCTGCAATGGAAACAACCTGTCCCAGGTCATCAAAGAACCAACGAGAGGACAGGCTATGCTGGACCTGATTATTACCAATCTTGACAAACACTACAAAACACCTCAAATACTCGGTCCACTGGGGTTGAGCGATCATAACACCGTTCTGTGGGAACCACAGACGACAAGGAAAGAGAACTTTACCAAGCGCAAAACATTGAGGCCTATCCGTGACTCTGACCGCCGGGCCTTCGGCCAGTGGATATGTTCTCAAACCTGGGACGACGTGTACGCCTCCCAAACCTGTGCCAGCAAGGCCGCGACCTTCTACACAACCATGGAAGACGCCATAAACAAGTTCTTCCCAAATAAACAGATAGCAATGCACAATAAGGACAAACCTTGGTTGAAACCGGATATCAAAGATATGATTCGTAGACGACAGAAGGCATTCTCAGAAAAGAAGACTGCCCTGTGGAGGTATCTGCGGAACAAAGTAAACAGAGAAGTTAAGAAAGCCCGCAGGTCTTTCTACCGGGATAGAGTCCAAAACCTTAAAGTGGAAAACCCTGCGAATTGGTACAAAGAAATAAAGACCATGTTGAACATACAGCAGTCAGAACTTTCACTCAATATCCCCGGCCACGACGAAGCAGATAACGTGTTCATCTCAAACCACATCAACAAGAAGTTCGCCGAGGTGGCACAGGGAAGACCACCACTGGACCCAGAACAGTTACCTGCATACAGACCCGTTCAGTCAGGCCCACCCGAAGTGAGCGTATGGGATACCTACAACCGGCTGCGTAGACTGAAAGCTGGTAAGGCGTCTGGTCCAGATCAGTTGAGTGCAAGGATTTTGAAAGAATTCGCATGTGAAATAAGCTACCCGGTCACAGACATCATGAACGCATCCTTCAAGGAAGGTTTCGTCCCACAAGCATGGAAGGATGCCACAGTTGTACCCCTTGCCCAAGTCACATCCCCCTTCAGTCGACAAGCTCAGACCAGTCTCTCTTACTTCTCAGCTTGCCAAGGTTGCTGAATCCTTCGTCTCTACATGGATCTTACAAGATGTACGTACCTCACTGGACACACAGCAGTTTGGCTGCTTGAAAGGCCGCTCTACAACAATGTATCTGGTCAGTCTGTTAGACTTTCTCTGTAGGGAATCTGAAAAGGCCAAGAACATTTGCACAATGGTCATGACTGACTTCTCCAAGGCGTACGACAGGATAGACCACACGTTGGCCATTCAGAAGCTGTTACGACTTGGTGTAAGGGGGAGTCTAATCCAGTGGGTGTCCGACTTTCTAACCCAGCGGCGGCAAAGAGTTCGTTATGGAGGACAGCTATCTGACTGGGAGGTACTGACCTGCTCAGTGCCGCAAGGAACACTTCTTGGTCCGTTAATTTTCCTCGTAGTGTTTGATGATGCCATGAGGGACGCACTGCTTCATCACTGGAAGTATGTGGATGACTTGTCTATGACAGAATCCCGCCACCACCTCGAGCCGCCGCTTATGCAGGATGAACTGGACAGTTTCACTAGATGGTGTCGGAACAACCACATGGTATTGAACCCAGACAAGTGCAAGGTCATCACTTTCTGTTTCATGAAATGCCCGCCCCCACCACCAACGCTCACCATCAATGGATCCCCCCTTGAAGTTGTGCCACTCACCTGTCTTCTGGGGGTGTGGCTGCAGAGAGACTTGAAATGGGAGACACAGGTTAACAAAATGATCGGAAAGGCTAACGGTCGACTCTTCTTCCTACGGAAACTCAAACACTTCAATCTTCCCACCGGTGACCTCGTCACTATATACACGTCCTTTGTACGGCCAGTATTGGAATACTGCGCGCCAGTTTGGCACCCGGGGCTCACTTGTGCACAGTCGGACAAACTCGAAGCTGTACAACGGAGAGCAGTTCGGACAATACTGGGAAGGCGTTTCACTAGCTACGAGCAAGGCAGGACAGACTTAAACCTTCCGTTGCTCTCAGACCGCCGGCAGAAGCTGTGTCTCAAGTTCGGGACTCATTTAGAATCCCACACACCGTCAATGCTGCCACCAAAGGGTTCGGACTACCACGACAGAACAACCAGAAACAGAGACAAGTATCGACCAATTAAATGTAGGACTGAACGACTCAGGAA